GGCTTGCTGAAGAGTTTCAAAGGCAAAAAGCAGAAACTGGAGAATTAGTGTCAACACAACGTATCAGACTAGTAGTGCAGTGGCTTCTAGGTGAAATGGCTATATCTGCTCACGGTGACTGACAATGTTATGATGATAATAACAGAGAAATAAACATTAAATAGCTCTTAAATATAATTTAAAGCCATACCAGTTAATCATTTCTCACTAAGGAGAAGTCTTCTGGTGACTAGAACCAGAAAATAATGAGTATGTTCTCCTACAAAATAATGAAGCATCTGAGAAGCAAGTGGATGGATGTTATATTACCTTGTGCTAAGCAGTGCTGATATTGGCATGTGATGTCCAGCCTTGATATCAGGAAAGGCAGGAAAGGCACTGGCTCAGAGGAGAGCCAGCAGAAGAAAAACAGGGTGTGAGCATGCCTCTTGGGAAAGGAAAGGATGATTAATTCATGAGAGAGTTAAGAAATAACCTGATCCTTGCCCCAGGTACCTACATAAATGTAGGACTGCTAACAATATGGGGTGTTTCCACCTAGGAGGTAAATGGCTAATGATATCTGGTGACTGAAGCTGAAACGAGACATGTTCAGCTCAGAAGCAAGAAATCACCCCAGTTAATGAAGTACTGCAACATCTTAACAAGATGATTAACAAGCGTTGTAATGGACTGTCCATCACTGGAAATTAATAAAATCAAGATTGGATGCTGTCTTAAAAGCTACATGAGAATTAATTGAAGGAAGTTGTATGGTTTGTGCTACCCATGTTCCTCCGGGCACAGTAATTTAAATGTTTTTCCCATACTACATAACACACTGCATGTTCTTGAGAGACTCATGGAGCACCTGCAGTGCTAAGTCAGGGTGCGAGCAGGGTATGGGTGAGGAGGGGAGGGCTGGATGTGGTCCTCTGAATGCATCAGTGACTCCTCAGTCTCTGACCTGCACGAGCAGCGTGGGGTGGGAGGTAGAGGATGACCAGGACAGTGATGCTGTGCAGGCAGGGGAGCAGGGGTGCTGAGCAGCAGCAGAGGATGGACAACGGGGAAGGGTGAACACGGCCTCTATCTACACTGTGGTGTCCTTGGTCAAGCAAGGGAGCTGCTTCTGCACTGATGTGGCTCAAAGGAAGATGCAGCAGAAAGGAAAGAGAAAACATGGAAAAGTCAGGCTACAAAGCCTGAAGTCCCACCACACCTGGGCATCTGTCTGGAGCTGAGGCTTCGGCAGCACCTATCCCATCTCTTTCCTATTGAAAAAGTGTGGTTTTCCTCACTGCCAATGCAGCAATCAATCATTAAATGAGGCAGGGCTGGACATTCAGATGGAAGGAGTCCACCCACTCTGCAGCGAGCGCTGGGGTGGAGGCAGAACTCAGGAGCCCAGAGGAGCACAGGCAGAGCTCCACACCCTGAGGAACCCACATCGGAGCAGTGTGACGAGAGCATCCCCTTCCCAGCTGTGCAAGGGGGACCTCTCACCATGCTTTAATTACCTTCAATCACCACAGCAGCTTTGGACAGAATCAAAGGATTATCCTGCTAAGTACGTTCCTGTTGACAGTTTGGTTTCATTAAGCTGTGTTTCAGCTGAACTCCTTTTGAAGCAGCCCAGGAAAGGTTTTGATATTCATCTTGGAGAGGCACTGAGATAATACAAGGACTTGCTGACTCAGCTAATTTCTGCTCCCTGATTTAATCTAGCTCACAGATAAATTATAGAGGATCTTTGAAATATTTCTCATCCCTGCTAATTGATATGCCTCTCAGATGGCTCTCTACTTGACTTCAGCTAATAAGCATGATAACCAAGTTGCCTTGCACGTTGCTGAGTAATTTGTCCAGTGAATGCCATCAGTCTTCAGAATGCCTCCCAACCTGTCCGGGGATGGCTGGCTGACCCTGTGCTCTGGGTAGATTTAAGCCAAAATAAATATTTTGCACAAATATTGCCTCCTGCCTACACCTGTAACACCAAAGCACGGAAACCAGAGAGCCTGACTGTGTTGGTTTTGGTTTGGTTTTTTTTTTTTTTTTGGTGCATTCAGACAGGTCCCGCGTTGGTCCCAGCCTTTGTGGGGTCTATTGTAATGCTGTCACCCCGGCACTGCTGTGTCTCCCAGTTGCACTCACTGGTTTGTGTTTGACTGAAGAAGTCTTCTTGCCTGGATTCGGAGAGATGAGCGTGGCTGAAGGCTGCACAGGGCATTTTTGCAGCCAAAGCCTCTTCCTGGCTGGGGGCTGCATCGTGCCGGAGCGGCACCAGGCAGCCTGCACCCAGCAAACAAAGTGGGCTCAAGAGTCTCTTGGATTTTTTTTTTTTTTTTCCTACAATATTTCTACAAATCTTTAAGAGAAAACTAGAACCTTAGATGAAATGTCAGTACTGGAATAATGCCAGTGTCTTACCCACAGTTTAGCACTTTTGGGGAGTTTGAACCTGTCTGAGGAGAGGGTGTAGGGCTAGGAAGAGCTCACGGGACCACAGCTGCAGTGTCTGAGGAGAAAAGCAATAAGGAAGTTTCCAAATAACAGGGCTTTGGCTTCTGTTTAGGTCAGATAACTTTAAGCTTCATACTCAGGAAGAGCAGTGCTTAGTCACCTGAGAAGTGACTGATTCTTGCAATTAGCAGAAGCTTGGAAGAACTGTTGCTTTACAGTTGCCATCTAATTTATAAAAAAATAATGATTTGCTAGTTTATTCAGCTCTGACCTTATTTTAAAATTTTTTCCTGGAAGTGAGAGTCAGAGCCTAGATTGTTTCAGTGGCAGGAATCGTTCAGTGGAGTTAAGAACATCGCTGAGCACACTGCTGTGCAACGTCCCCCCCAGAGCCCCCCATCACCCCGAAGCGCAGCCCTTGGAGCAGTTCCCAGGCTGTGGCATGGTCACGGGCTGACACTGGTGGCACGGGACGAGGAGGGGATACAGGGATGAGGTTGACCATGACGATGGCTTTCCTTCCCAGAGTGTCCCCAGTGCACAGCTGCTTTGACTCCCTGGGGTGGCGCTTGCCTTCTGCCCCCCCCTCCTTGGGGACAGCTTGGGGGTCAGAGCCCAGAGCGAAGCCCGTCCCTGCCAGTCCTGCCCAACTGTTTCGTACAAGACTTTGCTTTTTCCAGCTGGACATTTTTGCATCACTTGAGAGCACCAGGAGATTACAGAATGTCCTTTCCTCTTCAGGGTTTTTTAATTAACATTTCTATTATCGAGCTTAATTAGCACATCTCTGGCTTCCATCTGCTTTTCTCTGTTACAGCCTGCTGAAGACACTTTGGTACGACATTATGCATCATATCATGAAGAATAATAAATGAACATTGTTGTGTTCAGATTACACAGCTCGAGCTAAAAGATCAGGCCTTGAGGTCGAGAGGCAGCCACTCCTTTTAGCTCCTGGTTTATTTCTGGTTTCATCTGTGGTTATTTCCAATATGCTGGTCAGAGAAATTGCACGTGCTGTGAGTACTAAGTCAACCAAGCACTGGGAGGAGAGATGTTCAGTTGTCCTCTGAGTGCTTGTCTAGACTACTTCCACTTCACATGTGCACAAATCCCATCGTTTTTTTGCTAGCAACGTCCGGGGGTTGCATTTACTTCACAAAATCTGATGTTCCCCCACTGCAGTGGCATGGGAGGGGACAGAGCGATTAATGTACAGCGACTTTTTCCATCTCCGAGGAGAGATGGAAGTTGCCAGCTTGACTCCCTTAAGCCTGGCAGTTTCTGACAGGTGAGTGTTGGTACCAGCTCCCCTTTCACCTCCCACCAGTGGCAAGCAGCCCGTGAGTGCCCTGGGCCACCGTCCCCCTGTTTCTGGCACCCTCTGCTCAGCTGACAGCCGAGACCTCACCCACCACCCCACGGGCATCTTCCAGCTTCGCTCTCCCCATGGTGCCTCTGGCAAAAGCATCTCTGAGTCGCAGCACCACTCTCGGTCCCTCTGCAGCCATCAGCTTTGCTGCAACCTCTGCTAAAAAATTCTGGGGAAACTGTGGCCAGGGAGGGCCTGAAAGGCAGGTATAGAAACAGGCTATGTGAGCGCAAGTCCCTCCAGCCCGACCCTCATCCTCCTCTTTCCCACTGCGAAGGCTGCGCTGCTGCATCGCGGCTGCGTGTGTGCACAGCCCCAGGCAGAGGATTTATTGGGTTTTCAGGGCCCTGCAGGAACCTGCACAGCTCTGAGCAAGGGTGCCAGTGGGTGAGGAAGGAGAGAGCAGGAAGGGGAGAAGAAATCCTCGTGCTACCCCGCGCTGCAAGAAAATTTGTGAACACTGCTTACTGCAGACAAAGGGAATCTGTAAAGACGGCTGGTGGAGCATCCCCCTCCATCCCCAGCAACTGGTCCTGCACAGCCCATCCTCCTCCCACCTCCTCCTGCTCCCACAGAGGCTTGGCCCATGCTGCCCCTCTTTTCACATGTGTGTGCCCCCAGCACAGCCTCTTTTCACAGTACAGCATACTTGTGACTCACAGATCGCATCATGTATCAAGCTGAGTTTTCTGGCAAAATTAGCTGTTTAATAAAATGTTTTCCACTCCCATTTCCCAGTTGTTTTGTTTTTGTTTTTGTTTTTGTTTTTGTTTTTTTTTTACTGCTGGAAAAAGATGGCACAGATACTCCATGTGTTTCTCATCCCCTTTCCTAGGGACAGTCCTGCACAAGCTTCTCCAAGCACCACTGTCATCAGATATTTTGCTTGAAGCATCACCGTGACTTTCTAGTGGGATATTCAGCGTGCAGGGTCCTGCTGAGTCCCCCCCCCATACTTCATCAGAAACTCTCAAGGAGTGTTTGCGCTTTGCTGACCTGGGGTGGTGGTAATACTAATGCTGCAAAGAGGCATTTCAGTGGGCAGATGGGGTTGACGCCTGCCCCAGACCAGAGCGCACATCTGTTTCCTCTTTGCATTGCAAATGCTTCTCTGCTACTGCTGATGTAGGAATTTACATTTACACTCTTGTAAAACATCATAGTTTGAAAATGTAGCCCTTGCTCTGCTGCAAATGGATTTCTATATTACTATATCCATATAGATATGAGCATGCATGTATGTAAGTACTGAGTCTAATGATCTCCAAGTAAGAATTTGCCTATTTCTGGCAGCCTGCTCTCATAACCAGCCCGTTATCCGATACAGCTGATATAATGGATGGTTTTGCACGTTAAGGATGTTTTCTTTCTCTCTTCATAGTTTAAATTGAGTATCTCTGTTTATGTGAAATATCTTTCAGCCAAGACAAATGACCCAATGCCAAGGCTCAAGCAAGGACTGTATCCTCCTTTGCCTTCAGGTTTGGGGAAAGCTTGGCAGGGGCACTTGGCATCCCACCGGGCAGCCGCTCCTCTCCCTCCCTGCTCAGGCCCGTGCTGATCTCCCTTCTTCTACCGATTTCTGATGGTGGCTAACGCAACCAGGTATGCAAATCATCACTTTTCCTGCTCTGAATATTGTGCCTTCAAACATCTAATTGTCTCCCGATAATTATTTTTTTTTGTATCTTAACAGATGTTTATCTTTTAAATAATTTGTTATAGCAGTATAAATAATCTACACATATAAAGAAGTCTTGTGTCATAAGAAAACATTCTTCAAAGCAAATGAAAAACTCTGCAGAGGTGAGCTGAAACCTAAACTCCAGATGAAAGACTTACCACTGGTTCCCCAATTTTTTTCTGGAATGGACCAAACCCACGCACCCTGGGCATGAAGGTAAAGTTGAGTTTGTCTCTGGGTCCTGTATCTCCTGCTAACACTTGATTTTTGTCCCGAGCTGTGAAATGGGCAGGTCAGGGGGCAGGCAGCGTACACCTGGAGATGCTGTTTGGTGCCCGGTGGCCCTGCAGCATCCTGCAGCGTGGCGGCTCAGCGTGACAGTAACGTGACCCGGGTCCCACGGGCTCAATTTTGTGCCGTTTCTCACCAGGTTTAACAAGGACAAGGTAATTTCGGTGGTTCAGACCCCCTGGGCCACGTTGTGAGGTCAGGACCAGCCAACTTTGTGTTCTTGTCTTGGCTATAAGTGCAGTGAGTTGGGAAAATCTGGTATTTTCTTGTCCTGGTTCCAGGCACTACGAGTTGGGATGGCACTCCCCAGCTGTACCTGAAACTTCAGCTGCCTGCATCGCAGCCCACTCTGGAAGGTACTAGAATTACCTGACAAGAATTGTGACCAAAACGGAAAAATTCCGACCGAAGTCAAACATCTCGTGACCCTATAAATAGCGACCCTAAGTGAGACCCTTTGAGCGCTCTGGGGTCCCAGCACACTGTGACCCAGTACCTCCCCCTGAGCTGGGATGTCCTCGGGTTAGATTTTGTGAGGATTTTGAAGAGTAGATTTCGCAAGGATTCCCGAGGTCATCCACTGATAGATTCCGACAAAGAAGAAGGGTTCAAAGATCATCTGCTGACAAATGCTGACGAAGGAGAATAATGAGTAATTCACTACAATTAGATCTTGTGAGGTTTCAAAGATCATTTGGTACTAATAATTTACTACAGTACGCAGAGAGAGAAAAGTCTTGATCATAGGTTAAGCTCGATATGTGTGTGTGTGTCTGTGTGTGTGCGATTCGATTTAGGAAACTTTGTTGTAAGTCCTGTGTGGACCTTGCCATTTTCACATTTTAACTAAGTTACTATGTTGATTATAGCAAATTTTACTAAATTGCGCTGATAATTGTCTGAGGATTAAGTATTGTTAAAAACCATGCAACCTAATCTTGTGATTTACCTTAATAGTGCTAATAAATTGTAAATTGCTGCTACCTCAAAGTAGTGTAGGATCCATAACCACACATTTTGCAACAAACTGGTGAAGTTGGCAGGATCCTAAATCACTCTTCTGCGACAGGTAACCATTTGCTCTGGCTCTGCTAGTACATAAAATAGGCCAAGGCCAGCGTTTTGCCTTCAGAGGGACGCGTGGTGGCAGAGCTCACATCTGTACACCAGAATGTCCTTCCCAGTTGGACATGTGGGCCTCATCCGTGCTGGTTCCCAGGGGTCCTGTGCCCATGAGGCCCCGCACATCGCACCCCAGGCCACGCTGGGGAGCCGCCAGCGGGGAGCTACGCTGGGCACTGCTTAATTAATTAGCGTGGATGTGTCCCGCGAGTGGGCTGAAGAGCAGAGCCATCGACCGGGTGTCACCGATGCGTGTCGCTGCCTGGCCCTGTCACAGTTGCCTGACAAATAGCCGATTCTTTGGGCTCGGTGCTCTGTTCCTGTTTGGGTAGGGAGACTGTTGATCTGTAAATATTTAATTGGCCAAACTTACTGCTGCTTCTCTGTCTTGGGCCACAACACGGTATTTGAAGTAGTGCAGTGCTACAGGGGCTCGACAGCTTACACGGTCTCAGATCCCCCTTAGCGTACGCTGAAAGCCTGAGCAGACAACGCTCGTGTGGCTGCTGCGTGGGCCATCTCCTTTGGTTGGCAGAGCTGGGAAAGAGGAAAGAGTGGGACCTTTTTTTTTTTTGGGTGAGGTTTTCACCTCTGCAAAACGACTTGTGTCGTAATGAAGCAAAGAGGCGCGTTTGATGTTAAAATCAGCTTTCTTCCCGTGGTGGCTCATCGGGAGCAGATGGAGCAGTCTCGGGGGGACCGGAGAGCCCGGGAGGAGAGCAGTGGACGGGCTGTTTGATGCCTCCTGGCTCGAGCTGTAGAGATGCTTTTCCGGGGCTGCCCCGGGAGCGGAGCGCTGGTGCTGGGTGGGAGGTTCTGCGGAATTTTTCTTAGTGGGCTTCGTGCATAAGTTTTAGCTGTTTTGTTTGTATTCTGACACCAGGACAAATTTAGGGGAATATTTGTTTTCTCTTCAGTGAAAATTAATACGTTTAGCAGTAATATCAAATATTGAGTACAAACAAGACAAGGGAAGATCCTTTACATGAGATTAAGCTGTTGGGCTAGATGGCAAAGATAAATACAGTGCAAAAGATATTTCTTATTAAACAGCTGGCCCACGTGATTTGTTTCCTGCATTAGTGATGATCCATGGCTCCTATTCGCATTAATAGGCAACCATAAAGTATTTTTGTCAGCTGAGTTTTACTTGGAGTTAAATAAAATATTATAGTTCATGACAGATTTAACAACAGGCATCAACTTTACAACATCCTGTTGCTCTTCTATAGCAGACTGAACATATGCTTTTTTAAAAACATCTCTAACATATTGCATAAGCAATCACATTGTTGTGATAACATGACTTTTTAGCTTGATTACACTACAAGATGAGCTTTTAAGCTTTATGAGGATGCCATAAAAGTCAGCAGTGAGATGAAACGCCGGAACAGAAAGCAAATACTGGTTTTGCTGAACTTTATTAGAGAATAAATGCATGTTGTTGAGCATGTCAGATGATCGATGCAGGGCCGAGCTGCCTGCTGGAACTGGGGAGGATGGTCTGGTGGCAGCTGGAGCTACTGGACACGTTTCCAGCACGGAGAGGGGCCGGCCAGCAGCCGTTCCGTGCCGGAGCGTAAGGACGAACAACGGGAACCGGGCAGGTCTGGTACCCACGCGAACACTCCTCCTTCCAGCAGAAGACATACCCCATTATTAGTTTTCCTGCACAATCATGTAAGCTCCTCTGAGAAAACGTTTTAGCTCCTCGTAGGTGCTGCCGCTGTGCCACTGCTGTCTGAGAAAAGCTGGTTTTGAGGACGAGCCGTGCAAAGCCCAGAGCAGCTTCCCCAGCCCCGAGAGCAGTCGCGGCAGGTAAAGGGTCTCCGGGTAAGCGCGGTGTTTGGCTTACCAAGTACCCTACTGTTGCTGAGTGAGGTGTTGGGATGAACCACTGATAACCAGGTAGATGCTCCATCTCCTGCAGTATTCACATCAAGCGTGGTTACACTTTTAGCAAGCGTGCTTTAGCTCAGCTTATCAAAGTGCTCCAGGAAAAAAGAAAAATTGCAGCCCCTGAATACTGTTGTAAAGGGAGTAGGAATAAATTATCCAATGTTCCCTTCTGGCTTTGGGTCTGTAAGGTAAACTAATATTCCTCGATTTTATGTTCTAACTACCTCCAGAGGGCTCAACTTGTTATTTTCTGAAGAGAAAGTCCAACAAAAGCGATAGCTCTGAGGTCTGAGGCTGAGCTGGTGCACAGCGGCTGCCTGGGATAACCTGCATAGGTGAAAGGCTGGTTCCAGGTGGGATTTTTAATGAGAGCGTTTCCATAATGCAGCACCTATAGCTGCACCGAGCACTTGGTACACAGGTAAAGCAAAGGTAAGTAACACACAAGCGGAGTGGCATTGTGATGCTCTGGTTTGTGTTTCACTGGGTTTTTTTAAATTTCAGAATCACATCCTACAGGCTGTTTTGATGGAAGCTCTGAACTGCATGTCACCTCTCTTCTAGGGGCAGTATTGATCTGACTTTTCACCTTTCAGAAACCTTTAAATAAGTCAAAATCACATTAATGTACCACCGCACAATGTTTAAACTCAGCATAAATCATGGTTAATATACTTCTTATTAATAAACATCCTACCCTTGCATTTTAAGTGGAGCATTAAACTTTGTTGAGTTCGGAAACAAACTGTTTAATTTCTGGACACAAGATATATTCTGATCTTTTTGAGGAAAAAACCCAACAGAGTGAAAGCTGTGCTTCATTTGTGAATGGAATTAATAAGATCAAAGCAAAATCTGGCATATTTAAGTAGCATTAATTCAAAGAATTATTGCCAACAGCCTCTGATCCCTCCATTTAGAATATTTTTCTCAAACTATTGAAGGACCATTAAGAATTTTATTTTTTGACATTCCCTCTTTTGACATTTCTCATCGGTATTGTATTATTCTGATTCCATGGTCCAGAGACATAGGATAATCAAACAGTAACAACAAACAGCGATGACTAAAGAAAAGAGGGTGAGTGTTTGGAAGACAAGGTAAAAAAAAAAAAAAAAAGAAAGAAAAGTGGATAAAAAGATTCTGTAAAGTAACAGAAGAACCTCGAGGAGGGTACGGAGGTGGGTGGAAGTACAGACGTTTATCGCCCTCATATGGGTAAATTAGAATCAAATCAGTAGAAGAGACTTTGTCTCCCCAGAGATAAATAAGACAATAAAAAAGTTGCAGCAATAATGACAAGTCAATAATGCTTCAGAGCATAGTAGTCAAATGATTTATTTACCTGGCAGTCAGCTGATCAATAGGAGATAATGGTATTTTGAGTGTTTGGGTGAGCAGGAAGAAGAACAGTGTAAACAACTTGTGTCTTTTTGGAGAAAAAGCCCTGAACAGAACATGTGTAAGTCACTTCAGTTTAAATTACAGTGTTTGAAAGAATTAAAAAGGCAGGCTGGAGCCGGGCTGTTAATGAAGAGACCAGGCTCTCAACCAAGCTTTGAAATTCAAAGAGACAAACTGCGAAACTCAGAAAGTTCATTAGCAAAGTTACATGGTTGGAAGAACTCAGGTAGTTGAATATGGATAGAACCCCAATTTTTTTGAGTGCACAGTGCCAAAACTATGAAAAATTTGGTCTCAGGGTAACAAATGCAAATCCATCTCAGAAACGGATTAAGGATAAGTCTTCAATGAACGAAGGAAAGAACTGACCGCCAAATCCAGCAGCAACAAGGTCAGGGAACGTAGAGAGAAATGACAAGTGCTTCAAGACAGGCTCAGCTGTGTCTCATAAGGGATATTAAACACTAAGTGTTCATATAAATAAAAAAGTTCATAGAAGTAAAAAGAAATAAAAGAAGAAGTGGAGAGGATGGACAGAATTTAAAGGTTATTTGCACACTGGCTAAACCGAAGTACATATATCATCTCTATTTTCAATAAGGATGGTTTATGTTAAACACTGGGACTAAGGGAATAAAACAGTTGCCACTGTACCAGATGGGATATTATTGCTTAAGTAGGAGAGGATGGATAATAATGAAAAGCCATAATATGACCAAGGAGATGAATAAATGCCTAGAGGAGAGATGAAAAACAATAGCGTTAGTGGAAGTCATCGGCTGGAAGGAGTTACCGGTGGATTTTCTGAAAGACAAGAGTGAGAACCAATTTTATTTAACATTTGCTTTAACAGTGCTGGTACAACAATCGGAAATATGCCAAAAGAATGTGTTGATAATGATGGGGCTGGGAAGTATCCTTCTAGTAGAGGAAGAGTTGGATGATTTTCAGCACTGGGATAGCAGAAATGGGGTAAAATGCTAGTGGTTTAAGAAGTAATAAGTACTAAGAAACATGGCTTTAAACTAGACACTTTTAACACATGGATTTAAACTAGAGACGTCTTTAACTAGACAGTTACCTGCTCCTTTTCTTGAGATTTTCCTCCTGCTTTGTACTGGGAAAATGTCAGCTCTCCTAAAAGGCTTGATGATTTCCTTATACAGTGTATTTATCTTTATTCTCCTTCTTTCCTCAGGCACTTGACTAGCAGTTTTCCAAGCTAGGTAATATTTTATTCTTCTTATTTTTTTAGTCCTCTGTGTTTCTTGTTCTCACTGGAAACTAAAGCTTTCTCTCTTAAGCTCCAGCAGTCTTTTGTCAGTATTGGCCAGTCCCCTTCCCTTGTCTGTCCCGAAGACCCCATGGGCATCGTGAGCATCCCCATGCCTCCCCTGCTGTCACACCTCTGAGCAAAGCAGAGAGGAAAGAACTTATTTTGCAGTCTCTAATGCAGGCACTTCTTTTTATTGTCAGACACCAATATTTACCTCCACACATATTTCTGATATGTTAAAATACAAGAATTAAGTGAAGAGAAAACTGTCGAGTCGCAGCTGTAGGTA